TTTAACACCGGAGGTCCAACACCTCGCCTCTTGGTTAACAGCGGATGTGATTTTTAGAGAGTCTTTTCGAAAGATTATGACACAGCCACGAAGAAGATATTTCATGACGTAATTGGTCATGAAGAAATTTCCTTTCTTTTCACTCACATAACCTGACGACGACACGATTATACGCGCTTATTTATCTCGTTTCTCGATATACGTAATTCCTGTTACGACTAATATCCTCAAAATTATACAACAATTCAATCTCGTATTTTCACAAATTTAATGAAAATTTTGATTTTGAGGGCAGAGATAAGCTTTCAAACCCACTTCTTGGATTATCGCACGGAATAAAGAATGTTGATACACGTCAAGAAATTTATTATTACAACACTTCAAGACATATCGATCATCTATTTACGGATATAATTTTACACATCGATACTAAATATTCAAATTAATATAATAAATTTAATAACAAAAATTTCAAGCTTGTATACTGTGTCGTTAAATTTCTTTCAAATTGTCCTCCAACAAGATTATTCAAATTTTCATAGAATAAAATTATCTTCGATTGTAAAAATAATCACAGGAACTGACGATTATTTTTACAATCGAAGATAATTTAATTAAGTATCGCCAAATGATTTCCAATATAATAAATGCAAAGATATTTTAGACATTTTTTGTTGTTGTTGTATATTTTTACATATTTTACATTATACAAACGTAAATTATTTAATATTGCATCTAAATAATTTAAAATGGCCGGTAAATTTTCGGAAATTATTAATTAGTATTTATAAACATAGTTTTGCAAGAATAATATAAGCCAATACGAAACAGTAAAGAGAAAACGATGTCGATGATTATAACTTACTTTTTTCATATCTTATTCTTGAATATCATATAATTCATTTTAAAAAAAAGAATGGCACTAGAGTATATTACGTTAATAAAATTTCAAAAAATATACCTCATCCAATGCATAGAATTTTCAATAATTTTAAAATATATAATTTTCAAAGTACATACTTCGATCATATTTGTAAAATATTTATGGAATGACTTTGTACGTGCTCGCGCTTGTATGTATTGAAGTATTACGATATTAATTTTCCTAAAATTGCCACTCATTTGGTCACATAGCATATAGCAAAACATTTTATTCCGAAAGCAGTACAAGTGCTTATAGCAATTGCTTTCTTTGCTAGATTTCAAAGAAATCTTTTAAGTCAAAGTAATTTCATCGGCATAGTACTAAACCACGCGTAAAAAAAATGGAGTAACTAAAAACTTTTAACAAACGAGCACCTCTCTACAGAAGAATCGTCATTTTCGTTTAAAACACAATTGTGTCCCACCAATCGTGTGTACATAAACACACGCGTAGCCCACGAATTACGGTATTTCGCTGATCGCGCGATCGTCCAATTGTTTGCATTGACTTTGTGGGTTGCAATAATGAGCACGATTACCAAGTAACAAGAAAGTAATAATGCCCCATCAAGCAAAAGAGAGATAGATAGATAGATAGATAGAGAGAGAGAGAGAGAGAGAGAGAGAGAGAGAGAAAATAGCGATCGATTCAAATTCACGCAATGATTTATTAGAGAAGGTCGGCAAGAAAGGTGCCTCAATACCGTTTCCTATTCTTAGCAAAACAAATCCTTGTAAAGTAATGACATTGCTAATGAAAAATTTCATAAATTATTAGGGCTATATTTAGTTGAAGAATAAAATGTTTCATGCAATTTTGTGAAATACATGACGATTATAATCGATCATTTCAATCGCTTATAATTATTATTAATTTTCTATCATTGGCCAAATTAACAAATGTATATAATAAGACTTTTAATATTCATTGAAATCTTTTTCATTATATTTTTATTACTTTAATTAATGTTATTTATCATTACATCGTAATTCTTATAAAATATTTTATAATATAAAATTCTAATAAAATAAGAATACAAAATTAATTTCCTACAAACGAGTAAATTATAATTAATAATCGATTATAATTAAAAAAAATTCAATCATATATTTCTTCTATTTTAATGAAAAATTTTGTTTCAAGTTCTTCATATTCAAGATCATCAGTAAATGGTTCCCATAATTGGAGAAATAGTATGTCTATTAACGTAAAACTTAATATTCTTGAATTTCATAATTAAACATTGTTATAGATCACTCTGAACTTGTGTATATAAACTATTTATTATGCAATTGATTAAATAATAATATAGCGAAATGTAATAAGAACGAAATGACCTAATTTATAGAAAATTAATAATGGAAAAATATAAAATATTGTTCATTTAATAATTATTTAATATCTTATTTTATATATATATATAACTATGTGAATAATTAAATCTGCTTTTTAATTTATTATGCGGTATAGAGTATCAATTTTCTATAAGGTTTGCAATTTATTGACTATGCGATAATAATAGTATAATTCAATTATAAAACTTTTTTTTTAATTATATCTTGTTAGGTACTTAATTTTTTAAAATATTTTATATATTATTCATGGTGCCGTCGAATTCTTTTATACTCAATAATGATACAACGTAATTGTATGTGTCTACTTAATCTATTTGAATTTATGTAGATTGTCAATTAATTTTTCTTCAAAGTTTAATTTCTTTTATACTTAGAATTTTAACAAATTATGCACATCGTCAAAATATTCATTCAAATTCACTAACAACGATTCTAATTTATCTCCCCTGCATGATATATGACACGTAATAATGATCCTTTTTCATCTCATTTTAGTTGTATGTAACCATATTTTTGTTATAAAAGCTACTCCATCAATATGGAATCTCAATAGTGTGTGTCACGGCTAGAATAATTTTAAAACTGTATTCTTACTTAAAGTTCAAATGGTATAATAAATTTGTCTAACAAACAATAAACACTAAATAAGGGGTAGAAAATTCATACCAAAAAAAAAAAAAAAAAAAACGGGAAAAATATGTATTTTAATGTACTGCATAATTACATTAATAAATTATAATACTGTAATGCATATAAGACTTTGTACTTAACACAAAAGCTTTAAGTATATTATTATTAATCTTTACAAATCAATCGTTGCTGATAGACAAAAGAGATGCTTAAAGCTGTTAGGCAAATGCAATGTACTTGAAACGGTGGACTCGCAAGTGCGTCGATTGAACAATTACAACATATATCTTGTCATATCGGTACGGCCCTGCGCGTTAAGTGTTAAAACCACATCGAGCACAATCACCTATGAAGTATACTGACCTCGTAAAATATCCATGTGGAGAAAATAGTCTGTGCGAGATTGTAGAAAATGAGGATTTGCCGAAGGTTGAAGGGCTTCCTGTTCTCCATGATCCTCGGACCGAGGACTTTGCTGAAATAGGCATAAGACAGACAAATGGCGACCGTCGGAAAAGGACTGCTCATCATCGCCCATTCTTGAACACGAGGATCTGTAACATTGTCAATATATATTTAGAAAATTTTGCCACCCAATCATTCCATCTTCGTTATTTGTAATTCAATTTTGATTATATTAAACTGTGTGATTATATGTTTAAGACTTTGAAAGAAATGCCACTTAAGATTATCCATATTTATACATTTATTATGATTTTTTTTAATTTTAAACTTATAATAACATCCTTATATAATAATATACCTTCGTGAATTAATAAGAATCTTAAAGTTGGATAATAAACCACCTTTAATGAAAGGACAATAAAAAAAAATTGGGTATAATATAAAAAAATTGGGTAATAAATAAAAAAACAATTGGGTAATAATAATTTTCTTATCATCATTGATTATTAGAATTTAAGATGGCAGTTCCTATTCTTAAGAAATACCTTTTTCTTTTCTTATCCTAAGAAACCTACTGGTCCACTCAGTAATTACTTTATAAAAACTCCTTGCTAATAAGTTATATAAGCGCCTCGTTTGTTTCTCTCTTATATTGAGAGTAAAAAGACTAATTTGAATTTAAAAGTGCAAAAATAGATATTGAAAGTAATATGATAGATCGACATAATATAAACATAAAAACTACAATATAAATGCAAATATATATATATATATATATATGACAATTCTATATTAACATATTATAATAATATAAATCTTTTTTTGGATTGAAAATAACATTAATTTATCACACAAAAGTGGTTCGGTTGAAACAACCTGTAGTTGTAAATTTCAGGCGTTGTATAAAATATTGATATTGATGACATTTGTATTGTTAGAGTAATATTTCAAGATATCGGTAATACAAACAGCAAATGTATATTATCATTGTAGGCTAAAACATTTATGCTACTTTGAAATGCAACAAAGTAATAGCATAATTATTTTTGATCATTTTGCGAGTATTTCTTTTTTTTCTTTTTTTTATTACTTTAAGGGTAAACAGTTTTTAACTTCTTTCTAACGAATAATATTTATCAAACTATAAGTAAAGTAAGTAAATAAATACGGAAACTGATCATAATATATATTCTTATTAAAGCTCATAATAAAACATCGTAATAATATGTCGATCAATGTTATTGAAAATCATGTTTATATAATCATAATGGCATGCCATTAAATAATAATATTAAAAATAAAATATCAAATTAATGTTAATATCAAGGATGCAACGTAAATGTGTAGTGCTTAATTGAAAAGGAGGAATATCTCATGTGGGTAAATGAAAATCTTTCACTTTAAAGTTGTTCAACATTAAATTTAATCTTTTATACAACTATAAACTCGATTTTATATAATAGTTGTGAGATTTATGCCGAACGATAGGACGTTGTAATTGGCAAATTTGAAAAGAACTAATAAACTATCGATGCTATATTTATTATCGAAAAAGTCATATTAGGAGTGGCATACATAAAAGCACGAAATTCATTACTCAGGTAAATTGTAAGAAATCGCCTTTAAAGCTCAATGTAACCATTTGATTAAGATGTGAAAGGGCTAGGCCGAAGCTCTTGAAAGAAGCGGCAACGGCAGCTCGAATTTACAAACTCAAAGCGCTGAGCGTGAGAAAATGCGTAAAATTGTAGAAGAATATCGTTAGATAAGCGCGAGGGTAGAAAGAAAAAAAGAAGGGTGAATAGACGCGACTTTATCGAGTAAAAAGATGTGCTTTTTTAAAAATTTTATGTTAACGCGGCAGCAGATAGTGTTGTGCAGCGAAAATTCAGCATGAGGCGTGTCGAAGTACGTAACTAAAGCGGCTAACAGCACTTTTCTTTCTCGTTTGTACTTTAGGTGCAAGTACTGCCTCAAAGGACATTAAGTGCACATCACCGCAACGCTTCTCGTGCGAGAGACCTCAATGTGTAGCGAAGGGAAAGAAAGGAAAAGTGACGTTACAGTCACTTATAGAATCCTAGAGCCAATACAGTTGTTTATGTTTATTGGAGTACGGAGCGATAACAAATTTTTGAACAAATTAAATTCTTTGCATAGATAAATAATTATAATATAATGTACTAAAGTGCCTGTAAGAGTATTTATATAAGTAATATGTTCTTACAATTATAATACTAGGAGGATGTAGTTTGTCTTTATTTCGATCAATGCCAATGCTAATAGTAATTAAATAACCATATTATTTTATAATATTCGTATTATTATTCTGCTAATGATACACTTTCCAATGAAAACCAAGTTTCGAGAGTATTCTATGGTTAAGGTTTTCTTTAATGCGAATATAATATTCTATTTATTTATAGAAATATTGAAAGGTCTAGTAAGCTGCATTTAAATGAAATATTTAAAGTTGGGGCTAATACATTTAGTATATGCTTTACTGTAAAGACAATTCGTCAAACCACAATTATTCATTCCCATTCTGTATATACATTATTTCATTACATAATTGTTAAAGCGCTTTATTAATGACCATATAATGCAATATTAGATAATATGACAATTGAAATAATTTACATAAACAAACGACTGTAAAATTGAAAAATATTTGCTGCAAGTATAGTACATCACTGATAACGACCTCGACTAAAATTAGTATAAACATACCTTACGCATATTCATTTTAACGCACCTTATTTTGACCGAGAATACATATTGTATTTATATTAATGTATTAGTACATTATTCAATAAGCCTAACACTTCTTAATTGTCGTAAAGCAAACAACGATTCCTCCCCAATTCTTCAACAGAGAATAGAAATTTTCGCATTCCCGAATACGATTGTTAATAGTTCAATTTAGGCAGAAATTCCAATTTATTTTAAATCGAATAACAACACCGACATTGACATTTCTAAAAAATTTGAAAAATATTAAAACATATCTTATTTAATTATATTATTTTCTTAATCCGAATTAATGATTTTTCAATACGACACAATAGAAACAACTTTCATTAAGAAAAAAAAAAAAAAAAAAAAACTTTCAAGTTATTTAAAAGGTAAAAAAATCATTTATCCTTAGAGTACGATAAATTTAACCACAGACATTAATTTTGTAATAAAACTATGAAACGGGTAAAAAAAATTTCCATTTCATTAAAAATATTTAATTATAGAAAAATATAAATTGAACGATGCTGGAACTTTTTTACCGAATACAACTACTTCCATTTCTAAAGCTTTTCTCTAACTTTTTCTTTTTTCTGTTTTAATTATAAAACAACATATTTCATTTAAATTCGTGGACATATAGTATAAATATTAAAATAAATAAATAAATAAAATGAAAAGTAATTAAATTATCTTCATTCTCGCATGGTCAAATCCAAAAATATACTAAAAATAGGTCCAAAATAGAATACACAGAACATTCCCATAATAATCGTAATAAAATATCTTAATATCTTACGTAGGATTTTTTACTAAACGAAAATTCACATAATTCTTTTTTTTTTTTTTTTTTTTTTTTGTTGCTTTTATAAGTAAGTTTCAGTTAGTCCTTTTCTAATTATCTTTCACCTTAAATGTGTATACGACCAATAATCCAGGCCAATCATATTGACAAATGAATTTTGATCCCTTTAATTATCCACACAGCTTCGTAAAGATTTTACTTTTTATACAGGAACAAAGTCCTTATTAAACGTCTTTAATTGCAAATTTCCCATTGCCTTGGCTATATTTGAAAACAAATTGAAAACAAATTGTAAAAATAGTTAAAAATGACTGAATGCCATTTGTCCTCTTATAAAAAACTTATTCGATAATAGTTTTCAATTATTCATTAAAAATTCCTTTTAATTACTTTCCATATTAAATTAAATACAAGCAGCACGTCTATTTTAGCGCAGAAATTTAGTTCCATGATAGTAATAGCTTGCAAATATTATATTGTAAAAGTTGATACTATTTAAATTTAAATCATATGCAATGTAAAATATAATGATTAGACTAAAATATATAAAGATTTTTAGTTGATTACAAAATTTTAGAAAAACTTGCCTTAAAGACAATATCTATTAATCCATACATTTTTTTTTTTTAATAACATAAAAAATAAATATGTATAATTTAAAAGTTCTTAATTTCTTATATCTGACCACTTTAATAATATACAATAAAAATATGTCTAATTAGAAATTACAATCTTACATTTCAATTACCGTTTCAACGAATTTATTATGAAAATAACTGAAGAAATTCATTAACATTTTAAATAAGAAAAATAGCGTTTATGAGATATTATCCCGTATTGTTTCGATGTCAGTAATTTTGCGTAAAGAAAATAGTTCAACCAACTCTTAAAACCGAACAGTAATTACATATGCAATTACATAATTCGTATTTTGAATTAAAATTTTAGTGCGGTTTCATCAATCTACCAGTCAACAAGACTCTTACGTACATTTTCTGATATAATACCTGCATAAACTGTAATAGAAGCATAATTAATGAGATATCCTCCTGTAATCACATGCCTAAATACTTAAATTAAAATAATAATTGTAAATCTAGAACATATTTTATTATTAAAAATAATAAATAAATAATTTTACGTAAAACAATATATTTAACTTAATTATTTATTTAAAATTTTAAAACACGTAAATTTATATAAACCACAACAAAAATATATTAAATACTTTTTCTAATCATTTATATTATTATTATTATTTTTATTATTATTGTTGTTGTTGTTATTGTTGTTATTTAATTAATTAATTAATAGATTAATTTTTTTAATCGTTAATGCAGATTGTTTTACTTGAAACAGTTCAACAGTTAACAAACTTATTATGTTATCCATCTATTTCAGTAGGAAATACTTTAACAAATCAAAGGTATATGGTATAATACATGTAAAATTCAATTTTTATGAAAAAGTATTGTCGGAAAAGTGAAATGTAATTTTATTTTGTTACACGTATGTTGACATTAAATATTAGTAATGACTTTTTATGGTACTTTCATTTCAATAAAATCAGCGTCAGTGAAAATTTTCTTTACAACATTTGAAATACATAAAATATAAAATCGTCGTTTTCTAATTATGTAAATACAAGATAGGAAGAATACAATCGACAAACATTCAAAATGACCCAATCCAAATGAGATTTTACACAATCCATAATAAAACTCGTCTGTCAAATTGCAAATCTTTAATAAACAGATACATATACATATATAATTATAAACTATTTCTGATTTCTGATTTCTGATTTCTGTGACCTGATAAATTACTCGAAAGATTAAATCTACTTTCGACATAGATGTTTATCTTTAGAATAATAAATTTATTGACTTTGATTAAAACACGAGTAAATCAAACCTCTTTTAAAAACTAATTGAATAGAATTGCTACGTTAATTTAACTTAAATTACTAAATACATGCATTTCCCTTATTCACTAATGAATTAAAGTATCTAAATTTTTATATTGTCATTAAGGATAAGAATATAATGGAAAATATTTCGATATCCATTGAATTTCAGCACTCATCAAAATAGTTTTCTATAAATTTTCAAGTAAAAAATTTAAAGACTGACACTTAGTATAAATATAAAAATTTTAAAACAAATCAACACATAATAGACATTTAAATACATTACAGCATAATTAATATAAAAGTTTATTAATATAAATGAAAAAACACAAAAATAGCGTAATTTCATGTATAATTTATGAATTTACATAAAATATTTCGAATCAATTTGTTAAGCATTACTTTTAAGTAAATACGTTAAAAGATTCTTTTATTTCTAAATGTTCAAGCGATTTAATAACACTGGATAACACGTTCGCTCTACTTACATGTAAACAAAAAATATATAATAATCCAATGTCATCAAGATTTAATTGTAAATTAGCTGGATCGAACCTAACTAAATAGAGTGAATCAGCAAATTTTATTAAAATACATTCCAAACGTACATGTATTGTCGTACGCATAATTACACATTAAAAGTTATGGAAAACATCATGCAGGTGAGTTGAATAAATGCATATTTTTAAAACACAATTGATTTCACGATAATAATTTTCAGCTGAATCAATGCATCGAGAAGGCAAAAGTCCGACGATAAAAAGCAGGTCGCGGGCGATTCATACCACAAACCTCGCTATTGGCAATATACACCTACGGCCAAGTTGGAAAAGTCTTCTTCAAGAACGGAATTCCATTCTGTGGAGAAAAGGTTGGCGAAGTACTATCGACAAACTCATAGGGCATAACAAGAGAAATCAGCTTGAAGCATACCCTCAAGGTCAACTGAGCACTTGGTAATACATTATCCGCCCCGGGTAACGGAGTCAAAGAAGCGAGGGGGGAAAGAGAGAGAAAAAGTTTGCGCAGCCGAAAAATGAAGTCTCGCGATCGCAGAGGAGGGGAACGAGAGCGAGATACAGCGCACGCGCGCGCGCGCTTGTATGCACGAAGGAGAGTGTGTGTGTGTGTGTGTGTGTGTGAGAGAGAGAGAGAGAGAGAGAGAGAAATGTTACGCGACGTCTCAAGCATTTAACTATGTCGCAACAATGCTGACCGATGCCTTATAAGTTTCGCTGTACCGCGAAACGACGGCGCGCGTTCCACGGCGCGGAGCCCGAGCCACTTTCACACGCACCGATGCCGACGCCTAAGACGCCTGCCTGCCATCACCGTCGACGCGCGAATCGTCCTCCGATTACGTCCAGCTTTACCAGACCAACGCTTCAACCAAGGTTACGCCGGCAGCCCCCCCCCCCGACTTTCATTAGATTCCGCGGAGATTTGAAGAGAACGGCCTTCTTTCCTTTCCGATGGCCGTGTTTGCCCAGAACAATACCATTAATTATCGCACCGCTTCCAAAATTATTGACCCCCTTACCCCCGCCCCTCCTCCTCGCACACACACACACGCCCCTCCCGCCGCTAATTCGTTTACGCGCGCACGCACACGTGTAATTGTTTGCATTATATTCCGTTTATATGGAATCAATTATAATAATATTATACAACACGGCTTTCCAATACGACTTCCAAGCTGATTTTATTACTGACTGCGCGTTCTATACGCAGCTCGTGGGAGAAATTATGACCTTAATGTATTATATGTGACGTAGTGTTTTTTCAAAGCACTATTATATTTAGACTTTTATATAAAAGTGTTTTGGCTTTATGTAATTGTCGGTATAATATTTGGATGTTCGTCTATGCCAACACTCGTGTGAACCGAGTGAAATATCGAGGAATTAAAAAATGTAACGAATTCTAAAACTCAAGGCAAGATTTCGATTTCGGATAAAATGTCGATGTCGCGTGACAAATTTATGAATCTTTTAAGAGAAGCGACGACTGATTTCGCTAAAGCTGAAATAACTTTGTATTCAATTTGAGATTCAACTTTAAAAAATTATTAAAAATTGAAATCAACTATGTAAGTGGATAGCAACTATTTTCATCAAATCTAAAATTAGAAATAAATCACCAATGCACAATAATTTTATGATCTATAACTTTCTATTTCTCGTATATATATTTCCATTGACAATTCATAAAAGTTTCTTCCTAGATATTTTTCTAAGATTCCATTTAGTTTTTTCAAATTTATTGTCATATTCAATTGTCAAGGGAAAAAATTACTTAACGTTACATTATTTTAAAGTTATGTAAGAATTTAAATACATGATTTTATTGTAATAACATCGACTGAATTATAAATTGCCGACATTACTAATTAATTATCAAGATTATAAATTAATCATGAATATAACGAATTAACGAGTAATTATTAACACAAACATTGAATTTCTAAATGTTATGTAATTACAAAATTGTTATAAGTATTTATTTGCTTTTCAATTAACATGTAAATAGAATTGACTGTGAATTAATACAAAGAGAAAACAATTTCCTTCATTTCAGTTTACTGAAATATTTTCTTTTAATTTTCTAACTTAATTATGAATTGAAATGCGAGATACTTTTAAACAATTGACATAAATGAATATAATAAAATTTCTTGATTTTAGCAATTATATTTTGTAATTGCATCAAAATATTAAAAATAAATTAATATAAAAAGTTTTTATTTCTTTCTGGTTGAAATATAAAAAATAAATAAAATATAAGATTTTATTTGATTCATTTAAACATATTCAAGTCCACGATAATTTTAATCAATAAAGTATTTGTTCATTATCATTTTATCTAAAATTATAGAAGAGTTAGTTATTTTTTAAGAAATTTTGTAAAATGGCCAAATTCATGTGTTTAACAATAAGGATGAATCGGTAGAAAATATTAAACATCAGAAGAAACCGAGACAAAATGAAATATTTGCAATCAATAATACAGATATTTACAATACTCATACATTCTATTCGACAATAAGATACTAAAAATATCATTAGATTATAACATTTTAATGAAAACATAATATTATTCATTGAAATGTTTAAGAGACTAATTACAATAAATAGTATAAATATTGAATAGCAAATTAGATATTGTAATTATTTCATTTAACAAGAATATAAACAATTTTTAATGATTTATCAAAGAAAAAAAATACAAAACAATAGAAATGCATGAAAAATCTTATCTTGTGTAGAGTCTTTAAATTTCACATTATGATGTCGAATCAAAAAGATATATTTTTTCCCAATGTCAATGAAAATTATTTTTCTGAAATTCTTTTCGTAAAGAATCTATGTTACTTACCGGACTTATTGTCCATGATATCCCTGTAGCCATGAACTAATGTTCCTACTATGCTCGTCATCTTGATTCAATATCTATAACAAAAAAGACATATTACCTATAAATACGGATTAATTATTAAAAATTATTTAAAAACTTAACAACATACACATAGAATAACGAATTATTTTATTAGCAAAGTTTTTAAACTTTTATCATTATCGTTTAACTACATATTTTATATAGTAGCTAGGAACGTCGTAATAACAATTTTATAATTACAATTATAAGTTAATTAATTGCAATTTCATCGATTAAAAGATCTAATTTCAAATCAAATTTAATTGTAATTTATATTAATTATTCAGAAGAATAATATTTGTCAATTTTTTTATGAATTGAAGCTTTTGTTAATTTTAAAAATGCTTATTTCGCTATCATGTACATATATATATATATATATATATATATATATTCATAAATAATCAATTACATTAATCATATTTTATTATTAAAAGTAAATCAATATTAAAAATAGCGTGAAATTTGTTATATCAACCCTTTTCAACTAAAATTATTTCAATAATAATACTATAATTAGTGAAAATACAAAAACAAAAATCGTATTGAGCAATGTGAAATCTGAAAGCTATAACTGTTAATTGTTTACGTATACCTCATATCGATTTTGGCAAAGAATTGCGTATACAATGTATGCATAGTTGTAGAAAGCTGTCAAACCTTTATCTAAATATCGTAAATCTATTTTGATAATGAATAGAATATACATGCAAATTAGTCATGTTTAAAATAATCTAAAAAGTATCCCGAAAACTACCTTCTAAAACGATGAAAAGAGGATATTAATAGTTTTAGACTACTTTTTATAGCAATGTATTCATAAAATATTTTATTATTATATTTTCTAGATTATATATTAATAAACTATATTAATAAACTAACTTTTTGAAATAATTAATTATATATTTATTTAAAATATAAATATTTACTGATTACATGTATAAATATTATGAAAATTATATTAATAATTTGAACAAATAATTGTTATAACAGTAACAATAAAAGATTTTTAAAAAAATATATTGATATTTTCACATAAATATAAAATTAATTTCAGTACTAAATATTTTTGGAAACTTTCAGAAATTTGTAACCTTTCAATATTTTACTAGATTTTTTCTTAAATTTGTTTATACAACTTTGCTGCAATCTATATAATTTTTACTTGCTTATTAAAAATCAATAGAAGCAATGAATGAAAAATTATCGAAGATGCATTTTGATTATTTTTCATATTGAATAGATAAAGCTAAAATTATATTACATCTTTTTGATTTTAAATTATTTACCGATTATAAGACTGTATAATATAATTATATTATTATATATATTTAAACCAAAGTAATTCGAATGTTAAGAATAATATTTTTTTAATACATTTATAGCAAAATATGAAATTCATTTTTTTCGTTTAATCATATTCATTTTACCAATCTTAACATTTTCATTTTACAACTTATGTTGTGGTTGATTATCCATAAAAGAATTACAACCTTTGGAAATTCATTTTCGTCTCACACTTTTATATATCTACAATCTGGTTTCACCTACTTTATTTTAGAACGTAATTTGAAAATACTTAATTTGAAAAATAATTATACTAATAGTTAGGATAGGCATTTTATTCTATCACTAATATGAAACGAAATTATGGTTATTATTCACTTCATTCCCTATTATAATAAAATCTAAAATTTATGTTGAAATTTACATTATATTTATGCAGTTCAATAATTGCAAAAACTTGCGAAAGTACTGTATATAATACTATAAAACAGACAATTATTCACTCGTAAATGAAAGTATAATGTATGCCATAAGATAAACCATTCGAAGTACGTTGGTCCTGATCCAAATTCTACTAACGACAAAATTTGCTTTCCATATGTAATATTGTGGCCTGATTAACTTGGCTGCTAACAAAGAGTAACACCCAAAAAAGATAATTAACGCAAACAACATTCTCTTTTGCATCGCGATAAAATCGAGTCCGATACTATATTTACATATATTTATCAATACCGATATATTTCACATACTTTATTTGACTAAAAATACACACTGATAGCCATTTATGTTAATGCGCAAAAATTACAACATATTAGTTCTGCAATTTTGTTTTAAAAATCGAACTAAGTGATTTTTTTTCCAAGTACAATGCATTTAAAAGGCATGAATATTTTACTTTATTCGCTTATCACTTACAATCATAATTATCTTTATATCTCTTTAAAATCGTTAAAATTCTAAGATTGAAATATAATAAAAGAACTTTTTATTTAATAACAATTTTTTTCTAACGCTTTACAAAAAAAAAAAGAAAAAAAAAAAGTTTATGCATGTTTTAAATTTAATAGTAAGATAAATAAGTTGCAATTTAATCAATTAAATGAAATTTTTTCAAATAAGTGAAATCAAGGATTAAAGAAAACAATTAAAAGTAATATGTCTAAATAAAATAAAAATATATAATAAACATACAGGGGTGGTATGTATTGATTTTATAATTTTGCTTCCTATAATTTAACTAGAAGCTTTATACTACTTATAGTTTTTCATTTGCATATTTAATTTTTAATTATAAATATGAGTATAATAATAGTTAATTGACTTCAATTTTAATTATTCCTATTATTATAAACAAACAAATGAATAATTATTTATGTCTAAGTACATAAGATAAATAATTAAATCTATTCATAAATCTCTCGTTATGAAGAAAAAATACTGTATTATTATTCGCTTCGGATGCTTTTCAAATAATTTACGAATCTTCTATAATTGCGTACAACTATATTTTTTTACAATGTAATTTTATATATTTTTTTATATTATTTTAGATTTATATTTTTTATAATGATGCTTTCGGATTATACTAATTGACTATTATATACATTCAACTATATTAAATCAGAACTATATGACTCTATCGAGTGATATTAAAAAATTAATAAACTTTATTTTAAATTTTTATAACAATAAAATATACAAATACAAATATATATATATATATATATATATATATATATATATATACATAGCTTAGGTTTAACTTAAAAAATAATTAGTACATTCTCCTTATATGTAATTAAAAATTAGAAAGAAACGCATGAGACATTATTTATTTCGATTAATTCAACGATTTATTAATTAATTATATCAATTTTAAAAATGATTGCATTCTCTTTATAAAATATACTGTTAGAAATTTTACTGTTCATAATCGACAAAAATGTAATATGGATATCATGTTTAAGATTATGATAACAATATTTTAATGAAATAGTAAATTATCGATTGAATAAAAAAATTATATCTTCAAAGAATGTTTTAGAAAATCTAACAATAAAAAGAAATTCGAGTTTCTATTTATGTATACGTACATTTCAGCGATAAATATTATTGTATTAATTGAATGATTATTTATAATATAATAATTCCTCAACTTCATTAATCAAACTATTAGGTTTTTAAAATACTTTGTACTTATTAAACTTACATAAGTCATAATATATTATACTAGGTCATTTTAAACAAATTAAAAAATTAAATTTCAATAGTAATACATTTTTATAAAAAATAAAATGTATAACTCAAAAATATAATTTATACCAATATCGATAATAAAACTTTAAAAATGTATAATAGAAAGATATCATATTGGGGTCAATGTAGTTTCAAAATCAAATTCTTTCTAATGACTGAGGAAAAAAAAATTCGTAAGTAAAATTACATGTTAAATTAAATATTGTAAGATAAATGATTAAATAAATGATTAAAATATTAAACTCATTCAATATGAAATAAATTATTTATAATAATAAAATGAGGCAATTTATCTTCTTAGAAATTACCTAATTTTGAAATTTGTAATCTCCATAGGATTTACGTTATGCAAATAAATAAATACGTATCAGGAAATTACTTAAGAATGTTAATTTCGCTTAAATACATTGCATATACTGTCATAGATAGAAAAATAAAAAAATCTCTTATGTTTTAATGTATAGTTTATTTTTCAAATTACTAAAAATGCTTTCAGCAATAACATGGAAATTGGGACAAGAAGTAATTTTATTTTTCACTTTATGACTAATTATACCAATAATTTGAACTATTTAAGAACATAAAATCAATTTAATAACTTCTTTCGAATAAAAGGGTTCGTTAAATTTAACTTGCATCGTTGAATGGAATTATAATAAAATCATAAAAATTCTTATTTTGATATAGAATAAAAAAATTATAATTAATACCAAAAACTCTTCAAATATTTAGATAACTAAATTAAATCTAATTTTAAAATAATTAATCATTTATCTTATTTTTTAATGACTTTGAAAACAATCTATTTCATTCAGATATGATGATTGATAAATACTTTAACTCCCTCATGTATTCCATCTATTGTATTAATTTTCAATATCTATTATAAAGCAAGTCATATTGATTTTACACATAGATCAATCAAATTTTCAATTCCTTTAGAATCAAAGTATAATGAAAAATAGTTTTAAAAATTTTTTGCGATAAAAAAACTGAATAAACAAATTTATCATTTATCGCCAAATCATTTTAGTGAATTACCATCAGTAATTATTAAACTTATTAAAATTTAATTAATTTAAATTCTTCAAATTAATATTAACACTTAGAATGTAAGTAAACTAATTACTCATACATATAAACTATTAAAATAATTTTATCTGATTTATAAAAATAAATACCATAATAATTCAATAACTTTGTATGTCAAAATGATTACAAATATATTTTTGAAAAAAGTCTTCGTAACTAAAAAATTTTATCCATTAAATAAATGCCATTAATTTGTACGAAAAAGTTAAAAAAAAACTATTCTTTAAATATTGAAAATATTAATATTGCAGTATTTATCATATATTCGGTTATCAATATTTATTAAGTTAATGATATAAATACCCAATGAATATCCTACGAAATAACAATATTGTAATATAAAATAGGAAAGGAACGATGGAATTTTATATTAAAC